CTCGTGAACGTGTTAACCACCGACCTGATTTATGAAAAAATGGGTGACATGTACATGTTTCCCGTCAGTCTAATCTAAATTTATAGTTATCGAATATCGTACGGATCGACCTGCGTATCCAGATTCGGTATGTCATAACGGTTTCGAGACATATCAACGTTGTAGAGACTATGTTCCTTTATGTGTGTTGTTTTGTCAATATTTTGTTTGACGAATTCTTGTACAAAAAGAATTAAATAAAAAAATGTTCCTTATGCTAAGTTAATCGTCGACTATTATGTAAAGTTATGTTTTATTTTACTACTTATATCTATTGTACACTCCTCGACCCTACATAGTCCAGTCCATGGCTAAAGGGACTTTGACCCGTCGTCGCTTGTTTTGACAGACGTTGTTAACGTCCGAGAGAATACAAGGGGGTCCTCATAAAAAACCAAAGCAAAAAGTAAAATTTATAAACTCCTTACGAAAACCAACTCAACCCTTCTTAAACAAAGGCATATCCAAGTTTTCACCGTAACACACTCCTTCACGACGAGACAGAGGCTGTTCGTCAGAGGAGGTATGACAACCGTACTAGCGAGGAGAAAACCGTCGGTACAAATGAATGGACGGACGAGATATCCGGTCCGACCAATGAATCAGACACTACGTTTCTAGACCACCCTAACATAATAAGCCTCATACCTTCTACCGAAGGGTCTATCCTACTAGCCCGCCAAAATCCAGAAAATCACATTGTCTGATTTTTAAAGAATTTATTTGCAAATGGTGGAAAATAAGTATTTGGTCAATAACAAAAGTTCATCTCAATACTTTGTTGTATACCCTTTGTTGGCAATGACAGAGGTCAAACGTTTTCTGTAAGTCTTCACAAGGTTTTCACACACTGTTGCTGGTATTTTGGCCCATTCCTCCATGCAGATCTCCTCTAGAGCAGTGATGTTTTGGGGCTGTCGCTGGGCAACACAGACTTTCAACTCCCTCCAAAGATTTTCTATGGGGTTGAGATCTGGAGACTGGCTAGGCCACTCCAGGACCTTGAAATGCTTCTTACGAAGCCACTCCTTCGTTGCCCGGGCGGTGTGTTTGGGATCATTGTCATGCTGAAAGACCCAGCCATGTTTCATCTTCAATGCCCTTGCTGATGGAAGGAGGTTGTCACTCAAAATCTCACGATACATGGCCCCATTCATTCTTTCCTTTACACGGATCAGTCGTCCTGGTCCCTTTGCAGAAAAACAGCCCCAAAGCATGATGTTTCCACCCCCATGTTTCACAGTAGGTATGGTGTTCTTTGGATGCAACTCAGCATTCTTTCTCCTCCAAACACGTCTTGTTGAGTTTTTACCAAAAAGTTCTATTTTGGTTTCATCTGACCATATGACATTCTCCCAATCCTCTTCTGGATTATCTAAATGCTCTCTAGCAAACTTCAGACGGGCCTGGACATGTACTGGCTTAAGCAGGGGGACACGCTTGGCACTGCAGGATTTGAGTCCCTGGCGACGTAGTGTGTTACTGATGGTAGCCTTTGTTACTTTGGTCCCAGCTCTCTGCAGGTCATTGACTAGGTCCCCCCGTGTGGTTCTGGGATTTTTGATCACCGTTCTTGTGATCATTTTGACCCCACGGGGTGAGATCTTGCGTGGAGCCCCAGATCGAGGGAGATTATCAGTGGTCTTGTATGTCTTCCATTTTCTAATAATTGCTCCCACAGTTGATTTCTTCACACCAAGCTGCTTACCTATTGCAGATTCAGTCTTCCCAGCCTGGTGCAGGTCTACAATTTTGTTTCTGGTGTCCTTTGACAGCTCTTTGGTCTTGGCCATAGTGGAGTTTGGAGTGTGACTGTTTGAGGTTGTGGACAGGGTGTGATTTTCTGGATTTTTTTTCTCATTTTGTCTCTCATAGTTGAGTTATACCTAGGATGAAAATTACAGAGGAGCTCTTAAAGAAGAAGTTACAGGTCTGTGAGAGCCAGAAATCTTGTTTTTTTTAAGGTGACCAAATACTTATTTTACCGAGGAATTTACCAATTAATTCATTACAAATCCTACAATGGGATTTCCTGGATTCTTTCCCCCCATACTGTCTCTCATAGTTGAAGTGTACCTAGGATGAAAATTACAGGCCTCTCTCATCTTTTTAAGTGGGAGAACTTGCACAATTGGTGGCTGACAAATTATTTTTTAGCCCCACTGTACTTCTGCTTGCAAAACTTCTGCTTTCGCAGTTTTATTCTACACAGGAAGAGCGGTAGAACTTGTGAAATTCAGACCACAGCCTGTGTGAATAAAACGTCAAGATAATGTTTGTGAGAAAACATTCAATACTTAAGGGTGTGCAACCAAACCACCAACACTGAATTACATACAACGTAAAATTGCTTATTGATCCAGAGATGCAAAAAAACACTGTATGTTTTGAAATCATGAATAATTGGGGTTCCTGAAAGTATTTAAAACAAGTAGGAGATATCTACATCTTCGTAAAAATACATAACACGTTTTAATCAATCCATTTCGGGCTGTTGCTGCTCGCTATTAAGTCTCTGGTCCTGATGTTTGCTGTCCATGGAGATCAGTGAGGTGGTCGTCTGAGAGCAGCCCTCTCCCTTTATCATCTTCTTCATATGGGCCATGATGAACCCTCTAAACCTTCTTGTAGCAAAATAATAGACTACAGGATCCAAAATGCAGTTGAGGCCCATAAGAAGCAAAGTGATCTGATGGGCGTCATTGAGCACCTGAAGAGTTTTCTGGTTCCACTCTACGTGTCCCCAGCCCTTAGAGATCTGCAAGACTGCAAGTGTCCAGAATCCTTGAACTACATGATGGGGCAGGAAGCTGAAAACAAACACTCCCACAACTGCTAACAACATCTGCAGAGCTCTCCGTTTCACCCCTCTGGGCCTTTTAGTTGAGGCAGACATGGTCATGGTGGACTTTTTCGATATGATCGTTGATCGCAACTCTGACTGAGGAGGACCTTGAGAAAGTAGCGCTCGAGCAATAAGAAAATTACACACCACGATCAGAAAAAAGACAACAAAAAACATTCCAATTATTGCAAAATGAATGACTGCAACTGTTCTCTTCTGAAAATCTGTTTCATTCTGGTACCCCTCGAAACAGCGAGTGACGTTATTCTCATCCGTTTGGGTCCCTGGAGAAGCCAGGAAAGGAATAGCCATGGCAATGGTCAATGCCCAGATGACAACGCACACGATGATCCCACGTCGTCTGTGGTCAGAAGAGGCCGCATCTAGAGGCCGGGTCACTGCCCAGTATCGGTTGACACTGATGGCCCCGAGGAAGAGGATGGAGCAGTAGGTGTTGATGAAGAACAACGAGCCAGTCAGCCGGCACATGAAGTCTGTGTAAATCCAGTGACCAGACCGACTGTAATATCCAATCCAAAAGGGAAGTGCACAGACGAAAAGGAGATCAGCAATGGTCAGGTTTGTCATGTAGATGCGGATTTCACCCATGGCCTTGGCTTGGCGAAGGCATCGCAGGACAAACAGCACGTAGAGGTTGGCAATGAGGCCCAGGATGAAGATGATGCCATATGCAACTGGGAACAGGATGTAACGAAACTCAGAGTCAAGGAAGAATGAGCTGTTACCCGCCGAAGAGCCCAGACCAGAGGTCCCTGTTACGGCAACTTTTTCAGCAGATAAGAAGGCCATCTCTCTGTGCGTCTGTGGGAAACAAAACACACTATAGTTATGTCCTATCACAACATAAAGCATTCTGATGGGTTTTTTTGTCAGAAAATGTACACTTAGTTGCCAGTTTATTTGGTACACCTAGCTAAAACTAAGTCTTATACAAAATAAAGACCAACTGTATTGGTTAAAACTAGTTTTGGAGAAGTGTTGAAACAAGTATAGGCATAGCCTTGGGAACATGTTTCAAATGGTTGGTGCTGTGGGGATGACACCAGGGCCGGTTCTTACTAATTTGCTGCCCTAGGCAAGATTTTAGCTGATAATGAAAAACCTCTACAAAAGACCAATACACTAAAAAAAAGAGCAACGTATTGACATGGTGGACAGCTTATATAAAAAGGCTTCAAATGTATTTAGTATTGTATGAACATGTTTCAATTGGGGGGTGGACGTCACATCCTCTAGGGGGTCTGCTCCTGGTAGATTTGAACATTTTAAAGTAAAATGCTTCAATCTGGTGCACTTTGAGCACCCAATTACTAGAGACTAGGGGGTACAACTCTAAACACCCATATGAAAAAGATCGGTTTGCATTTTAATAATCAAATAAGTATGTGAACATATTCAATAACCTACCATAGCCAATAACAAATAAATGTAGGCTAACTTATTTTATTTTTGTGGTTCATTTATATCTTATTTTACCAGATAACATTTATTTATTAATGCATATATTTTATATCTCCAGTTCTAAACGATATTTTTGATTTACTGTCCTATAGTATACATAGGAATGATTTCAAACCTGTTTTTATTTATCCTAATAATTATAAAGGTGTGCCTTGGAAATATTTGTTTATATAAATTGTGATCAAAACGTTTGAGACCCACTGAGACAACTTAGAATAAAGTGAACTATCTAAACCAGGGATGGGTAAATGGCGGCCCGGGGGCCCTGAGTATAGGTCATTTTGTAGGCTGCCTTCTTTTGTTAAATTGTATTGCATAATAATACTAAGCCGTTTTGTCAATATTGTTTTCAGCAACAACAAAAAAGGGACAATATAACCTTACCTTGTAAAGTGTGTCAAAAGATCCACAAGACAACTTAGACTAAAGTGAACTATCTAAACCAGGGATGGGCAAATGGCAGCCCGGGGGCCCTGAGTATAGGTAATTTTGTTGGCTGCAGTCTTGTGTTAAATTGTATTGCACAATACTAAGCCGTTTTGTCACATGTTTTCAGCAACAACAAAAAAAACATGTAAGGTGTGTCAAAACAATAAAAGTACGTTTTTGTTTTAGTGGTAGATTTTGTGAGATTTCACTTCAACCTTCAGACACAGCTCAGTTCTAGTCCAAATTAGTTTTACAGTTTAAAAAGGTTTGATCTACCTCCCCTAATGTCTCATATCCTACTGTTTGTTTGTTTCTAGGAAAAATACTTAAAAAGACAGTCTACTTACCAGAATGCTTCTTCTCCTCTTATTTATCCCAGGAAGTGGTCACTGCGAATGCCTCAGCAGCTATATACTCGTTTACAGTTGAGTGCCTGTATATGGGCGTGATGAAGTTGTGCTTCAAAGTTCATTACGAAGGAAGTGTCACCGTCTTTCGGTCTTTTTTGGAAAAGCCCCTCATGGTGCAACAGGCGTTAACCTCGTGTTACCGACTTCTAAAACGAAGCAAGACGCCCACTTGGAGCAATCTTGGAGTTTTATAGTTAGTCTTCATTTCCTCGTCCATAAAAATCTGTTTTATTTTCCCTGGGAAAGTGGAGACACTGCCAATAATCTGACGGATTTAAATTAAGCGAAACTTGCCCGAGACCAAAGGGAAACATCAGTGCATTCTTATTTATTAAGAAACATTTAATCACTGACGTTATTATAACAATTCAGCCTGATATCTTGTTAGCTAAGGGGTTACTAGCGGAGAGAAACAATAATAATATTCGGGTGATTAAGTCCATTTCATTCCAAAGTTTAATAAAATATCACAAAATATCAAGAAAGATTTAATAAAACCATTAGTAACTATTACCACAACATTGTTACTTATCAAAATACTAACTTTGGTTGCCCCAAGTTGCCACCAAAGAGGTCAACTGTAAGTTTTACTTTCTTTTAGGATCCAACATTAAACATTGACTAAATAAAGTCTGTAATTGATCAGAACTTTTCATCTCCACAGTGAAACATGATTGTGGCCAATAGTCTTGAACTATAACAATTAATCAAATAGTCTTGATCCAAATGATGTTTAATCTGAGTTTACATTCGTTATATGTAGCCCATCAGGTATATTGGAGGGGCATTTTTTTTATTTCTAGTTGTGTCACCATGCCTCCTGATGTTGGCATACATTTTTTCAGGGTACGTATTGTAGTATGACAAAAGGTTTATATGTCTATAAATATATAATATACCTAGCTGGTTTAGGTTTAAACCTAAATAGCCTATGTATTGTGTGGTTTTTCTGAATCTGTATAAAATAGTGTTATGTGTATTTCTGGCTCATCACAAGTCGAGGCTATTGTGCAGTAATTCATTTTGACCAGATGGGGGAGGAAGAGGCTAATACAAGAGGAAAATAAACTGAGTGACTTTAACCCAGGTGAGGCACTGCTGCATGAACTACCAGTCCCACTCTTCAAAGCAGCAGCCCCACCCCCGAGTCCCCCCTGTGGTAAATGTTTAATTCAGGCCCCTATGTAGAAGCACACAACACAACACGTCCTCCTCTCCCTGGTGCCACAGTGTAATTCCTAGATTAAGGTTAACGAGCCTCCCAAACCTTATTGCTGTTATTATGGCTTGGCGGAGGAACAAGAGAGCAGAGCCTTTTGGTGGTTGTGCCCTGCATGACTGCCAGACGTATTGTGCCATTGCTGGGTATATACTGGCTCAGACTACACTGGAAAAATACATACATTTTTTTTCACGATACATCTTGCTGCTCGTGGTTTGGGTGTGGATACAAAAGATTCCACAGCAAGCAAGAGAGATTTGTCTTGGTCATTGAAAGCAGCTTATGTGAGTTGTGGTTTGGTTCAAACAGTGTTGAATATGTGTCATTGTTTTTTAAATATATCAACAACACTATAAAACTCTTACTTTATCCAGGTTATTTATTTTCAAACATTGAGTCTCACGGAAAGTCACATAGAGTTGGATGTACAGCTGAATGTTGAGTGCCTTGGTAGCCGAGTGGTTAAAACCGCAGCGTCCAGGGTTTGATTCTGGCCTTAGGACCTTTACTGCATGCATGTCCATATTTTTCATTCAGACACCACTCTCAGACATAGAGTCGCGGTTGTTTCATCAGATAGAAATTAAAACAATGCAATGCAGGATAAGGATTAGTATCAACTTCAGTTTCTAAACTCTCTTCACTTTATCATTAACAGAGTTTCCGATACATAATTGGATTCCCCAGGAGATGAGAATTATGACAAAGAACTGAGAAAATATAACTGGTGGGAAAACGTAACTTTAATGTTTGCTCGTGTGACTTAACAGTTGTTGATTAACTCACATTTGAAGGTAATTTTTTTTAAGGGAAGCCTACTTTTTTTAGACAGGCTTGCATTATTTTAGAGTGTATATGTTAAATAACTCTTGAAATCAAATATAGGCATACCATGTTGTTGCACTGGCCGTACTGAAACGCTTCACAGATCTTCCATAAGCTGAACACCTGCGTCTGGCTTTGGCCTGCATGCCAACTGATTATTTTTCTCAATTATAATCCTCTATATGGCCTCTAAATGGCCCAGAGAAAAATGTAAAATAATCAGATACAGATCCATGCAGGTGATCCCTGATGTTCTGCACTGCTGCACAGGTCATTCCAAGGAATCCTTCTTCCTGAGGAGTGGCTGTACTTTCACTCCAGGTGCAGAGACAAAGAGAGGGAAAGTTGCCAGGACCTCATAATTTCTTTCCTTATTTTAATGGGATAGCTAGCTATCACCCTGGAAAGGCAATATAGTCAAAAGTCAGAGTCATGCATTCCTCTGGGAGGCAGGAAGGGAGGGAGCTGCCTGTGTGGAGCTCCTCTTGTCCCATTAACACCTTTTCACAGTTGCTCCTTCACCTCACCTTGATCCATGGCACTTTGCCTCTGGCAGACATGAAACACCCTTGTGGGATGTTTTACAGATTGGTAGGCCGTGGCTGCACACTCAGGCCACTTGTGTAGAAAAGAGAGAAGCTGAGAACTGATAAATAGGTAGTGTTCAGATGCTCGTCTTGTTTGGCAGAGGGTTCTTGGCAGTACAGTCAGTGTAGGTCTCTCTCAGGCAGATTTATTGCATGCCAGAGGCTGAGGTTTGAGGAATGTCCCCCTGCAGTGAGAAACAGAGGGCCATGGGAGGGTGAGCAGACAGACTGAGGCATCTGTACTTTAACATGATATAGAACCTGACATTAAAACAAGATTTTTGTATGCATATCAAAGGATTTGGAGCTCTCTCTTTTATTGGAAATGCTGTGTATTTCCAAATGAAGACATAAAAGGATCAAACATCAAGATCAGGAAGAACTGTTAGCCAGTACTGATTGAAGTTAAAAAGACTGTCAAGATTCAAATTATTTAGATGTACATTTAGTGAGCAGCATTTTAGTGAGGCTGTCCCTTCGAACATACCGTCTGCACACCAAGTTATTGATGTCAGTTAACACAATGTTGCAGAATGTTGTCAGTGCGTTATTACATTAGATAAGCGCATGTTTCCCTCCATGACAAGCTGCCCCTCATTTTGATCCATCAGAGTTACATCTGTTTGAATACTTGCCAAAACCCACTCTGCGAGGACAGTGAATTAAGCACATTAATCCTTATCTCCGCTGTAAAGCAGAGTAGACAAAGTAGTACACAAAGTAGGGAAAGCTTTAGTCATATTGAAGCATTAAATCCTTCTACTGTGGTCTAATGTTTTTCTTACATGCTTATTATTCTAGTCAAAAGAGTATTGTCAGGTGACTATTGACCTGATCCTTGCACTCTGTACTATTGACTGCTTGTAATGTTGGTGATATACGCCGGATTATTAGAGATTAGTCTGCTGTTGCAACTGCAAGCCACTCTGGATAAGATAAAATTCCTCAGATGTGAAATAAAAATGCAAAACAACAGGGCTTCCTTTTGAAAGACAATGCGTGTATTCATTTGATTATAATTTGTGCTGGTGCATCCAGGCCTGTTTATTGGAATAAACAACTTAATGTTGCTGGGTGGTGAAGGATGTTAGTGATTAGGAAGGATGTTGGCTTGAACGCTGCTCTTCCTGAATCCTGTGTGCACCACAGAATGTGCTACAGGAGAGGACATTCCTCGCACCACTTTCCTCATGCAATAGATTACAATCTGTATTATGCATTTGCATTTATAATATTTTATGTATTAAGGCAAATTCCTAGAATGACAGAAACTTGTCTGTGCACGAGCCAACCTTCTCAGGAAAGATGAAACATAGCTGATAGATGTCCTCATAAAAAATAGTTATTTTCCATGTCTGTCTTTACTTACTGTCATCCCACTTTTTCTTAACCTAATGGATTTTTTGTGGTTTGCTACTTCATAGATCAATAGTTGTTTGATGTTTACAGTGCTCAGACCTTAGCCCTGGAAACTGATAGATAAGACCATTTTTTCTAAAGTTACCAAAAACATGTTTCTCTCTCAAGCTGCTTTTAAATCACATTATAAGACATACAGACAGAAATATGTATGCACACAAATGAACATACACCTGTGCTTGGCTTTCCTGCTGTGGCGTTCAGGTGTCTGAGCATGCCTGGTTATGCCTTTAGTTTGCTTCTGCATGGGTTTAATAATTATCTTTGATTACTTGGTATCTTTAGCCTTCTCCCCACCTGGTGATGGCAACACTGTAACATGATTTGTACCTCTTCCAGCTTATTATGTGAAATAAGATGAGAGTGATATGGCCTTTTACGAGGGAGGGGCGGTTAATGAGGGGGGAAACAAAGGCTTGACTGTGGGAATCTCCACAAAGACCTATTTTAATTACATGACGGTTTAAGTCACACAAGACACGGTCCTGTTCACTGATAACTTACTTTACACAGTGAGAACCAACCTCCTGCTCATGTTGCTTTTGAATAGCAATAATAGTGTTTATGTCCTCATCTGCTGCTTAAAAAAAACAGTGTTACGCGAGAGAGAGAGAGAGAGAGAGAGAGAGAGAGAGAGAGAGAGAGAGAGAGAGAGAGAGAGAGAGAGAGAGTAGAGGTAGTAGGTAGTAGGTAGGTAGTAGGTACGGTACGGTAGTACGGTAGGTACGTAGGTGTGTGTGAGTGAGAGAGAGTGTGTGTGAGAGAGAGTGTGTGAGAGAGAGAGAGAGAGAGAGAGAGAGAGAGAGAGAGAGAGAGAGAGAGTCTGCGTGGGTAGTTAGGTGGCATTTGTGATCTTAATCAAGTTATTTCCATAGTTGCGCAACTGAAAGACAATAAAGAGTTTACAGCCGCACCATAATCACTTTGCAATGCATAGATCAAACAATAGACTTCTGTTACAGTTATCACGCTTTACGACTACAGTGCCTTTGGATTTAACACTATCAGTGGCAC